CTCAGGTCGTTCTTCCCGGCGTCGGTCGCCGAGTCCGTATTCAACTCGACCGCAGGAGGCGGTGGTGGTGGCAGTGTCGAGCTGGCCAACTTGCGCAACAACACCGTCTTCAAGTGTCTGTACTGCAGCGACGCGTTCGATGTCGAGTACCTGTTCGAAAAGCACCTGGAAAGCGCGCACCCTCATCAAAGTCAGGCGCATGCCGCGACGCTCAGCTCGCCGCCGCCGACGGCTGCCTTTCACAAATCCGGTGGCCTTGCCGTGTCCAGTCGGTACCGAACGGCGGCGACGGTCATCGACGATGCCCTGGGCTGGCCGAACAACGGCGGCGTCCAGCTGGATATCGGACTTAACAGAGTGAAATGTAATATTTGTGATAAGAAGTGCTTGACGGTTCACGAGTTGGCGCAGCACAAGCTGTTGCACTGCAAAGTGATCCATTCCGAGTCATGTAACGTCTGCTACCAGCCGATCAGTTCGGTCGAACAGTTCTGTTGCCACATGCGCCAACACAACGTCAATGCGAATCTCATGTCGTGTATCATCTGCAAGCAGAGCCTCGTTTCGCCGGTAGAAATGCAGGTACATGCTAAGTTCCATCTGCGTATCGGCGCCATACCGCAATGCGCTGGTTGCGGCAAGGAGTGCGATCTGAAGAGCGCGTCGTGCAGCGGCGGCGACAAGGGCGAGAAATTACTATGCGCGTCTTGCCAAGACGCGACGACGGCGGCCCTCAACGGCAGTACAGCATCGTCGGACAGCGGCGCCGCGACGCTCGATGGAGGTGGTGGAGGCGAGCTGAACGCCGCCGAGTGTCAGGGCTCGAAGGTCAAAGACGAAAACGACGATCCATTAAACAACCTGAAGCCGTATCAGTGCATCAAATGCCAGAAATCGTTCTCGACCGAAACCGAGATCCACGCGCACGTCGCCACGCACGTTCTGCAGGACGGAATCACGCACTACTGCATGTTGTGCAAGAAAGTATTCGACAGTCCATCGAAACTGCAGTGCCATCTGATCGAGCACTCGTTCGTCGGCTGCTCCGGCTACCAGTGCTACCTGTGCGGTCTGATGTTTTCGTTACCGCAACCGTTGCAAAGCCACATGACCGCCAGACACAGCTTCTCTGACCGGCCGTACGACTGTTCGTTGTGCGACCAGAAGTTCTTTTTCAGAGCCGAGCTTGAGAACCACATTCACTCGGAGCATTCGTCGGATGCCGAGCGAAGCGATCAGAAGTTTATCTGCTGCTTCTGTGGACAGTGCTTCTCGACTCTGGCCGTGCTGCAGTGCCACATGAATGAGTGTCCGTCGAACTGTAAACAGTCGGACGTGACGATCACGAATAATAGTTCGCCGAACGTCACCGCTAACCTGACTACGAAAAGGAACATTCCGAACAAGAAGACACCAGCCGGCTACTCGTCCGCGGTCGGCTCTCACCCGTGTCCTCACTGCCCAAAGGTTTTCAATTCGCTGAACGCCGTCCAAGGTAAGCGTCTGCGTCCACGACATTTCTCGTACGTCGATAGATACCTACAGCGAACCCGCTTTGCGTTTTTAGGCCATTCGCACGTTCACATGAGCGTCAAGATCCACCATTGCGGCAAATGTAAAAAGGTGTTTCCGACGGCAGCAAAGTTGCGCAATCACCAGCGCCAGCATAATGGCGACAAACCATTTCCTTGTGACCTCTGCGGACGTTTCTTTTCTCGCAAAGACAACCTCAAAGTCCATATGAAGATTCACTACAAAAGCAACGGCGTTGGCGACTCGCTATCTGATCTTCCAACGATGGTCACCACCGTGGCTGTGCCCGCGATTGTCAGTGACCATGACGAACCTCGTGCCAAAGTAGCCGCCGTCAAGGAAGGGACTAGTTCTTCTGGCAACCTTGACAACACTGTTTGAAATTAACTTGTACATGACAACGTTTTCAACGCTAATAAACATTTTACTGCGTCAAAAATGTGATTTGGCGAACAGAAAATCGTATTTTAATATATTCACTATTCAAAACAGCGAAGGCCGCGTGCCAAACAATCAATGTCACTGGCAGAAGTCGACACTGCGTTGCTTATTACGAATGATCCGCCATAAACTTTGTATGAAAAGCCTTGAATCGGGTGATCATATCTTCGAATATGTCGGGAGGCGGCAGTATCGTCGTTCTGTAAAACAATGCTCTCAACATCACGTCGTCAAGTGTGATTCTAGACGCGAAGTCCGTGACTTGTTACCTGAAGTGAAACGTTCCTTCCTTTTGGCAAAAGCCGCTTCCGGGCACGACGCACACACCGGTGTTTTCCAAAAGATTCCAGGCATAATAGAAGTCAGGTGCTTCACCACGTTCCTTAAGAAGTTTCATGATTCAGACAGAAGTCATGACACTGTTAACGCGTTTACTTTAGCTTTCTCGATCGCTTTCGGTGGAAGAAATATTCTCGGGAACGCATACATGGCGCCTTGAACTGCATTGCACTTGATTCCGTCGATTGAATTAAATGCGTCCGTGATCATCTTCGCCTTCTGACCAAGAGTTTTTAACACGAACGCTTTCTCCTAAACATCACCTACTAAAACGCCGAAGGTAAAGCAAATGCTGTTGCTGATAAAACTGTTAACAGTGCTTTGCCACAAATCGTGTCAGCCAGCCAGTCCGCAACGTTATTCACTGGATTTCGACCCCTGTCACCATAACTACACAGGTACAATCGAAATCGGCACTTCAGTCAGAGGATGCATGCAACACAAGTCTCAGAAGGATATCACTACGGATTTACTCGCACCGTCCTCTTGCTTCTAATTTCCTAGGAGACATTTTAAACAGGCCACGACTCAATGGTAATTTCGCACTCGCAGTTATAATGGGTGCAAAATCCATCATTGTACAGAAACCTGTTGATACACCTGCCGAAACGCCACTATCTGCATCCTGTACATGTTACCGTCCAGAGTGTAATCCATCGTATATACTGTTATGGAAGGAAAATGATTCGCTGCTCAGTTCAAAGCGGATGCCTTTCGCTGAGACTGCCTAATGGCCAGTATTTTCAGCCCTTTACACATGTACCAAATAGGTTTGCCTAAACCATATCGGTATGGACGGATTACCGTTATAGACGGTAACATGTATACATCAACCACAGTATTATGGACTTGCTAGCAAACCGCTAGTTTTCGATAGCGCCGCCGGTAAATATAACACTGCTACACGAAAGAACAGGAATAAACATACATAAGTACTTAAATAACGCAAAATCCAGCATCTCAAGTCATGATGTTCGCCGTTTCTATCTCTAGAGGGGTAAATTATTGACGAAAAACGTTGGGCACAGTGCAAGAGAAGCACTACACACGAATATTCAACTCATTGTCTCTCATTTGTTATTAAGCACTGCAATGTTCAAGTGCATGCAGCACTTCAGAGTATCATTAGAAATCTGAAATTGACAAAGACCAGTGTTCACGGTTTGTCAAACCTGAGTTAACAGTCAAGATGCTGAAACCGAGAAAAGTACATTGAACCGACACGTCATTTAATGAAGTGTATCCGATAAAGCGTATGAACTAAAAGAATCAGAAATTCCATTTATCTAGGTAGTGTAGCTAACTGTTGCATGTAAATGATATGATGGCACAGCGTTCTAGGCATTACATACATACCAGCATAATCGACGTAACTAAAAACAAGCCGCGGGACAATCTTACTTTAGCAAACAAATCGTACGACGGCTCACCGGGTTTTGGGGGGTTAACAACGCAGTCCATCGCGATCTATAAGCCAACAAGCAAAGTCGAGCTGGTCAAACGCAAAAAAAGTACCTGGCCTAAAACCGTAGAGCACAATTTTGCGGATATTGATTTTTTGAACTGCGTGACAACGTCTGGGTCGACGTTGACCAACTCTGCGTATCCGCCACGCAATCCGCATCTAAAGAACGATTCAAACATCAAACTATTATTAACGCTAAACGCGCATGTGGGCGTGTGGTTTTTACTCTCCCATGTATCCCTTCGACGACGAATGAAAGCTGATCAATTCGAGGTTCGAGTATGGAGGGCCCATTTCCGTCATGACCTTTTTGAATGAGAAGAACTTCGAATTCGGATCATAGATGTTGTCTTGATAAACCTGAAACATGATAGCTTGTAAGACTGTCCTCATGATCGGACCCCAATGTCACCTCGTCTGCGAACAGAAACAAGTGTTCGTCGTTGGCAAACTTGATTATATCTTGGATGTTCTGCAGGGTCAACACTTGTCCTAGAACGGTCGAAGAAATTACATGCACCCTCGATACAACGGAATTTTTTCGCCTGCATCGGATTAGAGTAATTTGCCACGAAGTAAGCACCGCTTAGCAGTATGCAAGCGAACTAGCTATAGAAAAGATGCCCATTTGGCTGTGCGACGCGCCGATGTCAATGCTTTTCGGCTACTACTGGAATTGCATTCTTCAAACTTTTTGACGCCAATTTTATCTGTTCATAGGTACAGGATTTCAGAGAAATTCTCGCAAATAAAATCCGTGGATAAAATACCTTTCAATGGTTTCTTCTAGATCTATTGTTTGATATAAAAATACGCTGAAAAGCTCTTACTCACTTGAAATATGGTTTATCGGTGTGTGACAGGGTCTCATTTTCTCTCACAGTGTATATAACAGAACCATTTAGCAGATCATGGCTGCGTGGAATTTGATAGTAATTGTACTGGCCAGAGTAAAACCTCCGTCATCACTCGATCTCATATATGTTCTCGTAAAACAGAAGAAACGATTGGTCGGTACAGAGAAGTATGTTAACAAGCGGCTAACTCAACCACAGTCAAATTTTGTGGCGTATATTGACCACTGCGCATTTAAGCGGGCCAAAACTTCATGGTATTCGAACATATACAGTTTTAGGTAAATATCGCATATTCTGCTAGGTAGAGTAATCACTTGCTCATTAGGAATGACCTTTGTGGGACCAGTACTCCTTAAATGCTACCACAGAAACAAACAACATGGGTTCGTTGTATACCGGAGTGTGTCAGAAGACGTTTAATTGTTAGATATC